CGGACGCCGGACGCTGCACCATGGGATAAGCTCACATGGCCCTTCGGGCCAGGTGAGCTAAAAATCATTAAATAGCCCAAACCAATGTTTATTGAGTGAAAAATTTGATTTTTGTTTAAGAAAGAATTTTCTGTTCATCCACAATCAAATTAGCATTTAAAGGAAAGAATGACAGGGATTTTATTGTATTAATTAATTAACTCACTACATTAAATTTTTACATGTAAGTTATTTGATAGATATCCCTTGTGATTGCTATATCCAAGGGATTTCGTTCGGAGATAATGAAGGAAAAACGTACAACACTCTTTTGTTTTGTCAATTATATTTATTTTTACAATTCACATCTATTTGATGACAGATGTTTTATGGCACTTTGTAACAGTATTATGTGTAAATGCCATGATATTCATTAGCATTGAGATAATGGAAAACATACATGTTTATACCAAATTGTATAAAGTAGCGTTTTCGATACAATAATGATTTCTGGACTGATGTGACTTGAATGTTGAATGTCTTGTCCAAATGCATGTTCTAAAATTGATGAAGTGTGAAACCACGTTGTGTACAAACGTGTTCCATCGTGTGCAGAAGTGTGTCTAGGAGAATATGTTTACAACATCTTAAACAAACTGTTCTACCACATGGTGGAACGGCACAGGGACATGATGGAACGGCACAGGGACATGATGGAATGACACAGGGACATGATGGAATGACACAGGGACATGGTGGAATGACACAGGGTCATGAAGGAACGGCACAGGGACATGATGGAATGGCACAGGGTCATGATTTCTTGTCACTATTTCAAGCAGACAATAACAAGCATTCATCAAAGACATTAAAGAATTTCTGTAAAACTTGGAGTTATGATTTTGTTGACGTTAGGAAGTGTTAGGTGCAATACGGCACCAAAACCTTTCACCCTTTATATAGGTCTACCATAACTGTAAAAGGTTGAGTATTCAAACTAAAATTCATCACCAACTGAGTTTATAAAGGGTGCTTAACCCTTTCACCCCTATGTAACTTTAGTAAACTCTTCCATGCTTTGATCTGGATGAGTCCATTATGGTCTACAGTGGTGAACGGGTTAAGGAGTATTCTGATGAAGACAAACGTTCAAAGCCAAAGGGGAAGGATTTATATTATGATAATCGCTGTGTTTTTCCTCGACCAAAAGAAACGCTTTCCTGTTTCTTATTCCAACAGTTACATTTCACTTCATTGAGATATGACAAACACAGATTTTGTTTGTGTAAATCAATTTTTGCCTCTCAGGGCACTATACCCCTGCAATAAGGTGAATACACCAAAGACACTTTAATTTTGGCATGAATTTTTTTATACAAGATTATAGACACACACAAAAGAGATTACACTTGTATATCATCACATTGTCTGTACATGTCTATCAACGTAATAATGGGTACAATAATGGAATACATTTTTATTAGAATTACGTAAATAAGAAGGTATGTCTATGGTTTCGGAGTGATAAAGATATCAAGAATCTTGTCCTGTGTTAAACACTATATATATACATCTATTTATTACACAATAGTTTAACTATATTATTTATTACACAATAGTTTAACTATATTATTTATTACACAATAGTTTAACTTTATTATTTATTACACTATAGTAACACTAAAGTTTAACTCTGTTATTTATTACACTATAGTTAATTAACTATAGTTTAACTTTGTTATTTATTACACTATAGTAACACTATAGTTTAACTCTGTTATTTATTACACTATAGTTTAACTTTGTTATTTATTACACCATAGTTTAACTCTAGTTTAACTTAATTATTTATTACACTTTAGTTCAAGTCTAACTACATCGACACGACCTTAAGACAATATAAACAATAGAGTATGATATGGTTATATGGTGCAATGCTTTGTTACACAAGATTTTGATTTCATTATTGAACAATACCGTAATGTAAAATTATGAAAAACAACAAAATACTGATAGAAATATGAAAACAAGTACCAGTAAGTAAATATATAAATGTGAAGAAATGTGCCTACAGTCTAGCCCATGTAATATCATTTGTAGATTTCCAGTGTGAACACAGTTTTACTGTTCTTGTCTTGTTTTACAGATTTTTGTCATATCCAGGGAAAACGCTAGTTTTGCTATAAGAAAATACAAGTAAAACTAACACAAATGCACATCTGACTTGATGACATTGAGGATGATGAGATTTTTAAAGCCTTCTAATTGGAAGGCATTTTCAATTTCAATTAATTCAAATGAAATTTTATTGAATGAATTAGCTAGTGAGGAGAGTAATACATGAAAAGAATCAAGCAAATATTTTTGGTCTACTGTATGCACACTGAAAAACTTGGTAATCCCATTAAGCAGGTTGACAGATATTTTGAACACATGTTCCAATGTCTGTGACAACACATAAGCTATGTCAGAGCATTATTATCAAGTTGTTACATTCACAATTTCATAATGAACTATTCCAACTTTTGAATCGGAAGAGTTCAAACGTGTCTGCAGGGTTGAATGAGTTGAGCAGGTTGACATGTGATATATATATTGACATAGCATTAGTAACACATGTTCCAATGTCTGTGACAATAAACACACAACACACTAGCCACGTCTGAGCATTTTCACAAATAAAACTTAAAAAAAATTAAAATTGACTAAATTAATACTTGCAGTAAAAAATTCCCATACTTTTTAAAACAAAAATATCAATCATGATTTCATCAAAAGTCATTTTTTACATAAAACATCTATACATCTCTGTTAATTGATTTCAAACAAAAAATAAGTGAATTTGGATGAATAAATTGGCATAAGTGACGTAAATGGTTCATAAAAGACAAAATCAATATCAATCTGAACATCTCATCACCAAGGACACTGGACGAAACCCCATCTTTGATTTGGCCATCATTAAAAACTGACTTTTGACCTAAAGTCTAAACGTAATTATTTTAGAAATAAATCACACTGTTGAACTACATATCTCACATAAGTATCACAGCTTTAGACCTTATGATTTAAAAAAAAAATGTTGTTTGAAATTTTTACATATTAGACCTCTGTTCTTTTGAAAGTAGGTCAAGGTCATTAAAATGAGGAAAGTGCATAATATCAGTCCCCTGGGCTGCAGCTTACCCTAAACTCACCGGCAATTTATGCCAGGTAAGACTAAACCATGCAAAAATATTTAAATTTATATTCCTACAAACTAATAGCAAGACAAAATGATGATGGTCAATACATAAATTTCATTTAAAAAAGTACAATAAATGCATTTTCTTAAAATCAACTGCAAATACCTCAACATTTATTTTTAAAGCCATACCTGTCAATCTCTGAAAGTCCTATATCTGATCATTAACTCATTTAGCCCTGAAGACACATTTGAACTCTTCCAATTCAAAGGTTGGAATAGTTCATTATGAAATTTCAGGGGTGAATGAGTTAACAGATGTTCACTCGTAATATTTGTCATACCAAGGTAATGTATACAAACACTTTTTATACAATGTGAAAGAAAAAGTCTGCCTTTTTACTGCCTATTTATATTTGGTAGTATAATGGGGACCAACACCATGAGGACCACGAGCATCTCTTTGTTGGCTGAAATAGCATGTCTTGTTGCCATATGATCTGCAAAAAATTCTCTTGGTGCAACGTTGTATATTTCAAACCAGTCGTGAGGTAGTTTCTGAAATTTTCAAGTCACAGAAAATCTGGTGAAAAAAAAAATATAAGATCAAGTTTAAATTTTCATCTGGTCGTGAGCTGAAATGCCTTTTAGGTTTTCATAAATGGTGAATTAACTCATTCGCTCACTCAGCCAGACAAAATCCGTTATAAATAACGAACATTGGTACATGTACCAAAACAATCACATTTTTTTTTATTAGAGTCACAAGGCTAGAAGGTATGTCATGATGATTGGCTTAATGTGAATGAAAATCTTTGCCTGAATAGGATCATGTCGCAGAAGTCTGCATTGTACAATATGATCCTGGGTCTGATGTTGATGTGGAGTTATCTGTCCTTGACACACAAGGGAGACAATCCTGCTGCTGCTGCTGTGTATTGTTTGTGTTGTGTGAAGTCACTGTTCCTATAGTGTCGTGGGTTTTATAGCCATCTGATGAATCACTATCAACAGTTCTAGGATTCTCTGATTCCGACGTGCTGACTACACCAGCAGACGTCTCTTCAGGAGACTCTACACTCGGATGGTGGTCTGGTTCTACAGGACCTACAGGGCGGGGGGATGTCGCCTCCATCAGAGTGTTATTCAAGGTACCTGATGAGTTACCTTGAGGAGTTGACGACTGCTGAGACAAAGCTGCATTCTCAGTGGAGAGTGTGCACGCTGTGCCTGGCTGTACCACTCCACTGTCATGCTCACACGTGATCTGGTTATGATCTGTGTATCCGTCGTTGGAGCCAGCTGATTCTCTTCTGGGATGAGTGGCTCCGACGAACATAACTGTTATCTCGGTAGGATTAATGTGTACCTCACTGAAAGAGTCCCGCACAGTCCTTTCCTCTCTGTCTCGTTCCACCGAGGACTGGGACACGTCCTCTTCCACGTCCTCTTCCACGGACGTTTGGGAGTCTGGTTTTGATGTATGCACTACTGAATAGGGGTTATTGCTTGAGGAGGGGTTGTAGGATTCAATCCCAGAGGTATCCTGAATTTTACTGGTATAACCATGACCAACCCGTTCAGGTATCTCACTGTAGGGACTGGTATCATCCTCCGGGACAGGATCCAGTCTGTCAGGAGTGTCGGGCTCTGTTGACAAGCTCCCACCCTTGCCGCTATCCCGACTGTTTTGACGTTTTGTTGCGTCACCATTTGACTTTCCGGAATTGTTTTTGCCAGAATCTTTGTGACAGTCAATGTCCTGCAAAACAAAAATCTCAGTGTAAGATGTTTTCAGTTTTCTACAATCAATGTCAAGTAACACCTACATATGTGTGTATTTAAAACAGAAATGTACATGATGCCAAAGCTTCCTTATAGATTAGGACCTAGGAGATATTGTAAGTTTGGCCTGATAAAGCTCATCAATTTGCAAAATAATACCTCTTAACCATTGTTGATCAGTGATGGCATAGACATATTTCTCTACATATGATACAGTGTATCAATTTTAATTTGAGTATGAGTATGTATTTGTTATAACAAGAGGCCCAATGGGCCTGCATCGCTCACCTGGTATAAATCTCACACTTGTAACCTTAAAAGTGATCTAAAATAAAGCTACAGGCAAAATAAAATATCAGTATTTATGATAAAAAATCATTCAAAAGAACCTGTTATTTTTGTTTTAAACATTTCACCCCTGTCATTGAAAGCCGAACAAAGTCATTATATTGAAATGTTTTTATAGCCTTTCATCTCAGAATGCAACTTGCAAAGTATCAACATCCTGGGACCCATGGTTATTCAGAAGAGGTTGTTTAAAAGATTTTAAACAAATTTGACCCCTGTGACCTTGAATATAAGTCAAAGTCATTCACTTCAACAAACATAGTAGTCCTTGATCCCAACATGCTACTGACTAAACAAACTTGGTAGCCCGTCATCCTAGTATGCTACTGACTAAATATCATCACCCTGGGCATTTTTGGTTATTCAGAAGAAGTTGTTTAAAGCTTTTAACATATTTGACCCCTGTGACCTTGAATATGGGTGAAGGTCATTCATTTGAACAAACTTGATAGCCCTTTACCCCAACATGCTACTAGCCAAATATCATCACCCTGGGCATTTTGGTTATCGAGAAAAAGATGTTTAAAGTTTTTAACATATTTGACCCCTGTGACCTTGAAAATGGGTGAAGGTCATTAATTTTAACAAACTTAAAAATGTAGCCCTTCATCCCAGTTTGCTTCTGGCCAAATATCATCACTCTAGGCCTTTTGGTTATTAAGAAGAAGTTGTTTAAAGTAAAATATTGACAATGGACGGAAGGACGGACGCCGCGCCATGGCATAAGCTCACTTGGCACTTTGTGCCAGGTGAGCTAAAAATGAAATTACTGATGTTAACATCTGATATGTCTATATAGTTTACAGCTCCAAATTTTTACTCTGTATCTTGACCTGTCAATTCTAAACATGTGCAAATATTCATAAGGTATTTACTGGACAAATTATGTAAACTTATATAGGGAAATATAGGGATGTTCTATAAAGAGTTCTAACAGCAAAAACAGAAAGCACCGACTGCACAAATTTTATCCACTAATTATTATTAACACATCCTTCACACTGTATTCTAAAGCTTCCAGTTCGTATATTATACCCAATTACCGTATTCGCCGTAATTTGCACCCCTCTCGTTGAAGCTCAACTCCCCTTCTTCAGGAGAAATTGAAATTCAATAAACTGCCCCCACATTCAAGCCCTGGTCAATGACTTACAGTATATTTACATTTTTGAAACAGAGATTCATGTCTTGTGGTCACGGCGGAATTTTTCCTGATGAAATATTTGATATCCAAACCCCCAGCCACACTGCAATGTTTATTTTACTGTAGAAACGGTCAAAGTTGCACAACTTGTTCTATCATAACTTTCATTCTCTTATCCTAATAAGCGCCCCTATCTAAGCGTCCTTGGTGCTAATTACGGAGAATACGGTATAATAGTCCTTTAAAAGAAGTGTATGATAAAGAAAAAGCATCCTTGATATTCACAGTTTACCATGCATATAATCCGTCTTTGCATATTGCAGATTTGTCTTCTCTCGTGAGCAGGTATTGATTGTTATGTCATTGGTTCGTGTGAGAAAATTACGTCGTTTTCTCAAAAATTGATGACGTTACTCTCACAAACAAATGACGTAACAATCAATACCTGTTCACAAGAGCAGATAACTCTACAATACGAAAAAGACAGAATAACCATTTTCGAGGGCTGATACGGAGTAGGATACGGAAATGGTCATATGGTAAACATTTTATCATATACTGCTCTATTACATAAAAATTATTAGCAATAACACATAAAATTGGCAACAAATTGATATTTCATGAGCCTTAAACTATAATCACATTCTTCCCTAAATAAAAACACAATGAACAGAATAGCAAATACAGACATATATATATATATACAGTGTGTACATACACTACTAGTTCGTGGAGCGATTTTTTCTGAAAAGTGTTCAAACAAAAGTTAAACAAATATGGCGCATGGAGCGTACCAGGCAGACATGGTGTGAGCTTGGCTGATATAGCATGTGCCGGGCGGATATATGTTGGTCCGGGATATGGCTGATATAGCATGTGCCGGGCGGATATATGTTGGTTCCGGATATGGCCTAATATGCATAGCTAGCAGTACCACACAAGCAAAACAACCAATATTACGGACAAGTATATGATTAGTATTAATAGCACTGAGAAGCCATCAATGTTACTGGTTAATTAGAGCACCCTACTTCACACCAAACCATTTAAGCACAAGCATAATATACAGTAGCAAAATAACATGCATTTACATAATAGCTTAAAGCATAACAGGTGAAAAATCAGCAGATAAGTAAATAGCAAGCTTAATAATACCTTCTTTGCCTTCGTAGCAGTAACAAATCAGGGCTAATTAATACCTCAACACCTCATCAGGGCTAATTATTACCTCCACACCTCATCAGGGCTAATTAATACCTCAACACCTCATCAGGGCTAATTAATAACTCAACACCTCATCAGGGCTAATTAATACCTCAACACCTCATAAGGGCTAATTAATACACCTCTACTATATTCTCTCAACATTAAACTATTTTTTTCTCTTGCTTTTGTCCTGGCTTTGCTGCCCAGGGAGTTAGTCCTTTATCAGCTGTGTTTTAGTCCAAAAATCAAATCATTCTTGTAGACTAGCTCCTTGTGTAATTAATCATGAAAATAATTGAGCCAATCAGGTGATAGGTGGGCGGAGCTTGCACTGATCTGACCTCTCAATTGTGAACGATTGTTAGATGATGTAAAAAGAGTTGATATGACTCTCTTAATCCTCCTTTTCTATCCCTTCACTACATACTTTACCCATTCTACTCATTTTCCTTTATTTTTTGTCGTCTGGACAACCAAACTTCTCGGTATAATGAAGCTGACGTAAAACCACTCAAACAAACAAACAAACTCTCTAAAGTATTTTGGAAATTGTATTTGGTTTTAAATTGTCTGCATTCATATTGGCATAACAACTAACATCCTTTCACCTCCTTCAAACTAATGGTCCGAGGGCCTAATTAACAGCTACCTTGCATCCCAAAACCTAAGAGGCACTTCAGGAGAAGTCGGGAAAATTTGTGTCTTCAGACAAATGGAAAGATATATGGATGGACAGACAACATTTAAATTTGTATAAAGTGTGTAGAAAGGGAAAATAAACCCGAATCCAGGTTTAACAATCGTGAGAAAGACCACTTTCAGTTTCTTTCATGTCCCCGAATCAGAAGATAAAGAAGGGAGCCACTGACTTTGCAGGTGGTCTCTCAAATGAATCACCTCATACAATCATGCAGTGGTTTACAAAACATTGCTGAACCTACAGGAAACAATTTGAAAATATTGTTCTACATGCAGAATCTTATCACCATGCCAATCCACTGTCACTTCGCAGCTAAGAAAAGTATTTCTACAAAAGTGTTGCCCATTCATGCATCTACTGTAGAGCTGAGAGTAATTACCATAGAGTGTTGAGCTGGCAGTAAGGCCTGCCGGGAATTATTGGTGGACCTGGGCGACCCTGTCGAATTGGTTGGACTAGAATCCTTTATAGAACAAAGCAACACATATATTGTGATGTTTACAAAATAAATACAGAGTTAAATAACAGCAGAATTATAATTGAGATCTTCTTAGCAGAGCTGCAAAGATTCGCATACCTTACGATACAATACGTATCACGATATGATGCTTCCGATACAATACGTATCACCATACAAATACCTACTTAAAAGGTCAACTTCATTATGATTGAGTACAGGATTTTATCGAGTTTTGTCAAACACTTAAATGGTAAATATTTTTTTACTTTCAAAATATATTTTTGTACGAGTTTTAGTACTCGGGGGTATGATTGCACAGTAGACCACACCTTAACTGAAGGGTTAAAATAAAGCACACACTTTTTTAGAGTTGGATAAAAAAATTGACGATTGATTATTTTAGCACTGTTAGTGTATCGCAATACAGGCAGACAAAACAATCCAATATGATACACAATTAAATTACAAGAGAGTATCACAATATGATACCATACGATATATCACTTCTCCGTGACACTCACAGCCGAAATGTCAAACAATCCAATATGATACCATACGATATATCACTTCTCAGTGACACTCACAGCTGAAATGTCAAACGATCCAATATGATACCATACGATATATCACTTCTCCGTGACACTCACAGCCGAAATGTCAAACAATCCAATATGATACCATACAATATATCACTTCTCAGTGACACTCACAGCCGAAATGTCAAACAATCTCAGCACTCACTCGAAACAATCAAGTGAAAAGATTAATATCAAGACTTATATAGTCGAATATAATACTTTCAAACTCTGTCTCTAAATTAATTGTCATCTCTTTAAGTTTAAGGAAGTGTTAACGGAACCAAGAGTTTACTTCTAAAGAAATTTAACTGTATACAATTTGTTTTATCAATTAACTGAATATTGTTGATTTGGTATTTGTATTTTTTATAATTTCCTGTACTCTGGTGCCGAGATTAATACACGGAGATCAGGATAAATCAAAACATTTTCTTACCGATTACAGCCAAATTGAAACTTATTGAACATTTCAATGAAAACCATGACCTACAAAACATTGATCCTTTGTAGCTTAAGGCCTGGTGAGCATATACAATACAGCATAACAATAGTACTTAGCTAGTGATATTAAAACAATAGCTATATATGTCTACAGATGTAAGTGTCAATAGCTATATATATGTCTACAGCTTTAAGTATCAGTAGCTATATATGTGTACAGATGTCAGTGTCAATAGCTATATATGTCTACAGATGTAAGTGTCAATAGCTATATATGTCTACAGATGTAAGTGTCA